CATTCATCCATTTTTATAGAGTTGGACTCAACACCATGGATCCAATTATGTTAATAAAGTTCATGATCAAAATTCAATCCAAGATCAGCCATAAAATAATCACAAAATGATATTGCATTTAATACATATATTGAAAAGGGTTTTAAAATGCTTTAAAATAGAAATAAAAGAGAAAAAATATCAAATTTGTTCAAATTAATCAAGAAATATTAAGTAAGACCCTGGAAAAATCAGAAATGAACTAAAATATTTTTATAAAAATTTTGGTAATTTTTTTAAGTCAGAAACTATTTTTAAAATTAAAAGAAATGAGTAAAATACAATGAAAATGGTAAAAAAATAACAAAGACAGAAATAAAAAATAAATGAGGTCACTAATATTTATTACAATATCATTGGATCATTCCATCATTTTTTCAGAATTTAAAAATGCATAAAAGTATTTTTAAACATTTAAAACAATTCAAATAAAATGAAAATGTATAAAAAAAATCAAAACACAAAATAAAATTGTGAAAAAATAAAAATTAGAAAGAGAAAAATCAAAAATATTTTTCATAATTTTTTCAGATTTTTTGGACTTAAAATGAATTTTCTATGATTTTTTGAAATTTAAAACAATTAAATATAAAAATCAGAAAAGAAAAAAAACCAAAATGATGTGGACCAATGGATGAGAGTCAAAACACGTTAGTAATCAAATCTAAGGGATCTTGCACGCTGTGCATATCATGGTCATTAATAAATATCACACCGGATCCAACATTTTTAAAATAAAACAACTTAAAATGTGACGCGTTGGATGGAGTTTGACTCACAAAAGTAATCAGATCCAAGGGCTCCTGAGGCACGCACATGGTAAGGCAAGCATATTGTATCCTTTTCAAAAAAATAACATGGCTTCATGTCATTGGTTAAAGACGGACATGTCATCGTCTTCAACCTCCAACCATCCCCAAATTGAATCCTTCAAACTGTAAAATTAGCAAACCAGACTGGTACCATTAGATTCGTCTCTTCAAGACGATTCTTATGGTACCACCGCGCCAAATTTATATAAACTATGCAAGGCTGTGTTTGAAGAAAACCATAAAAAAATAGCGAGCACGAAAATCTGGGATATCTCACTCAATTCTCAATGAAATTGCAAACTATAAAGAGCACGAGGATCAGAAGAATACAAGGAGTGGATTAGTCTTTTATTTGAATCAATTTGTCTAAGAAATATACTTGCACGAAGTAGTGAGAAGTTTCTCTGAAACTGGACTTTGCATATCAATATAGGTCACAATTCTTGAAATTAACCGTATGGTTAGCTTCAGAGAAGTTCAATGAAACTAACTGAATGGAGCTTTTGGTGTTTGAAGGTGAGAATGTAAGAAATCGGAATTTCAAATTCAGAGTTCGTATGGGATCTAAATAGGGGTTAATTGGCTATCAAAATCTTGCCTAAATGAGTGAGGGATGATCCTTATTTATAGCTTATCATGATGCAAGGCTCAAGCGTGTGAATTGGAGGCAAAATCAATGAAATCGTGTGGACCTGCTAAGTCTGAATAGTGTGACTTCACATGGCTCAAAACGCAGCAAAATGAATGCTTTAAGGGTCGTTTCTTGTTATGGAAAGTTCCTAAACATGATTAGACACGAAGTTGATCCTTAAACAGGCTTGTAATTGGATTTAAACCAATTTTCAAATCTGACTGAACTTGGGATTTCCATTTTATGATGGTACTTTCATAACCATGGTCCCATCAATGTAAGGCACCAGATGATGTGATTTTTGAAGCATTTGAAAGATGAAGTCACAATATTTACAATGTTCAAGGAGTGAGATCAATAGGATGTTTGAGCAAGAAGTTTTGTTGAGTCAAAGTTGGAAGAAATGTGTTGACTTTCCATACTTAGAAATATTTCATGTTTTTCTTCAAAAGTGACCTATAATGTTTTACATCCAAACATGGCCTTCCACTTGGAATTTTCTCTTGACCAAAAAATATGGCATAAAATAGACCTCTTGAATGACATTTTGAAACTTGAACCATTCAAAATATCAAAAAAATGAGAGTTATGAATGGTTGAAGTTGGCAAAAAATCATGAAATGACCTATAATCTTTTGTATCCTTAGGGCATCTTCCATCCATTTTCTCACTTTGCATATAAAAGAAGGAATAAAGTTCACATCCTAAAGATCATTGTATAAAAAAAGTGGGCTCAAGGTGATAAAAATTGACCAAGTTATGATCATTTGAAGTCACATGTGGAAAATTGGGGGTTCATCTAGAGGACTTGTAATCTTTCTTTATCATCAAGCTTCTTCCACATGAAAACTCCTTGAAACATTTGAATTGATATGTTAATAACCCTTTGGAGATAAGGATGTCTTTAGAATCACTCAAAAATACCAAAAGATGAGCAAGATATACTTCTTTGAAGTTCAAAACCCTAGCTCCTAGATCAAGAAAATGCTTTGAGGAACTTTGACAATTTTGAACAACCTTCTTGTACCAACACTCTTGCTTTGTAAATAGAAGTTGTTAAGGATGATAATGAGGACTCATAGAAACCAAAACCACTTCCATATCTTGATAATTGATATAACGATGCACTTGTGACCAATAGGAACAAGACCTTGTCCAACCATGACAACTTCTTCAATCAACCCCTTGTACTTTTGAATCAATTTGATAACTTGGAAATGTAGTGGACCAAACTAAACCTTGACATGCCATCCCTTCCAAAAAGCCTTAATGGTGAGGTTTTAATTTCTCAAACTTTATTGACTAGGGAATGGAAATAAACTCATGAACCCATGGATAAACTTGTTAAGCCACATTGCCTTTACCTACACTGTTAACGAGTAAGACAAACCAACATTGCATTTTATTAATTAAAAGGGAAAGTCAAAACAAAACATGAATGATCACAAAATAAAAACAAGTCAAGGTGCTTGGTGGTTCCTCAAAGAGCAAAGCTAAAGATAGGGAGAATAACCACAAGCCCTAATGTGATCTTGTTGTGATTGAATCAAAATGGTATGATGAAGGGATCTTAGGGGGGAAAATTGGGGTACAACAGCTGCCCTTATTTAAGTTCCTTCTATCCAGAGATACGAAGGTTAAAAATCTGCGTGTCGACGCGATCGAAGATACTTAAATATAAAACAAACCCTATTTTTGGCCCTAAGATGCCATGCAATGCTTATGAGTATGAATGCCTATGACCAAAATCAAAGAGACGCAAAACACCACTAGGGATGTAACAAAGGAAATAAAGAAACAAAAGAAAAACACCCGACCAGGAAAATAAATCAATGGTGGATCAAAAGGCCCGACTTATAGAGGATGATAAAAAGACAAAGGATACACTAACTTCGACTAAAAGCATTACTACCAACGTTCACTGAAGGTAGAAAGGTAGAAGAAATAATAACACCGATGTTCACTGACGGAGAGCTACCAATGTTTACTGAAGGTAGAGAGAAGAAATCATTGATGTTCACTGACGATGAACTACCAGCTTTCACTGAAGGTAAAGAGAAAAGAAAAATATCATAACACTGTTGTTCATTGAAGGTAGCAAAAAGATAACAATCACAAACTTTCACTGAAGGTGACCTACCAACTTTCACTGAAGGTAGAAAGAGAATACATTATAGCACCGCCGTTCACTGACGATGAACTACCAACATTCACTGAAGGTAGCAAAAAGATAACAATCACCAACTTTCACTGAAGGTGACCTACCAACTTTCACTGAAGGTAGAAAGAGAAAATATCATAGAAACGTTGTTCACTAACAATGAACTACCAGTTGTTGCACCCCAAAATTTACGCTCATAATTTCTTTTATTTGGCTTAGTTATTTACATTAAGTTGCATATATTTCATTAGGTCACTAACATAGCATGCACTGTATTCAATAAAGCGCTTGAGGTTCAAATTTCAATGGTTGTGCGATATTAGGGTTTCGCAATGGTTAAGGCGTTCGTGTCCAATAAAGGGTGATTTCTTATTCAGGCAGTGAGCAGTGGAATTAGGGTTGTGACCTGGGTCGTTGAGAATTTCTTTCTTCATCAAGCCACAAGGCTATCAGGGTTTATTTTCCTATATGCGATCAAATCCAGGTTTTCTGTAATTATGTTCCAATCGGGGTTTTCATCGAAGATCATGATATTAGGGTTTGTTTTTATCAAGGGACTTTCTCAGAAAGCCTTATATTGTGCGTCGGGAATTATCATCTTCAAAGGAATATCTTAAGGATTTTAGCCTTACATTTTCAAGTGGATATGTTTGTGACTTGAATTACGAAAGTTGAAGCACAATACAAGATATGATGCGAGAGAGCGCTAATTGAGTTAGACGAATATGAATAAAGGCTTTGATTTTGGGCAAAGTCAATATGGAGAGGTTTTTTTCTTGACTGAGTTCATGCATGAATATTATTGATTCGATTGAATGTTGTGTCATATCTTGAGCTCAGGACTGGTTCGTTGAATATGCAAGTTGGTTGGAATTCGTTCATTGAGTCATGAAGTGAAGTGTTTAGAGGATAATAAAATGGTATTAAAGAAATCTAAGCATCGATTTGTTTTCAAGAATTTTATTCAAGCGAGTTTGGAGACCTTAGTCATAAGAGTTTCTTGGAATTCAAAAGTTAAGATGCAAATGGCAAGACAGAGTCATTCATTCTAATTCCAGTCAAGTGATTATTTTGGTTCAAGTTGTCACTTTCAGTATCATTCAAATACCGTTCAAAATCAATCCAAATACACTTCAAACCTTCATTTACGTCATTCAAATTCAACATCTCAATATTCATCATTCAATGTTCACTCGAAAATTCATGTTCATTCAACCATTTTTTCTAAGCATCGTGCAAATATTCTCAAGCAATTCATTTTGAATTTACAAATCCATATTACATTCCAAAGAAACTACAAAAATTATAAATTACACAAAGCTACACTAAATCTATCCTAGCTCCATTATCTTCCGTGTTATGACTTCATGATGCCATTTTTGCAACCTCCAAACTCTTTGTCAAACTTTGATTCAACCATGTACAAAATTGCTTCTGCGATAGGTTTCATGTCCCGGCTCCAAGTTTTCCAACCCTGCACTTTACAAATAAAACAGACCATAAGTTCAATCAGAAAAATATTTTAGCAGCTTGCAAACAAAACCAATTCAGAAAAGAAGAATTGCGAAGATGCCATCTACACTATGCTAAAATAGTTATCGTGATAAATCATGTTCCAAGTTTACAGTTAGCATGATATACTAATGGCTAGCCCTACATTCAAATTCAAACCCGATTTAGGACACTACTGACCAAATCCCCTACATCAATACAAAAAAAACTTCAAAATGATTTGTACCAGCTCCATACAATCAGCCATGCAGTTCACAGACTAGCAGCGTGTGCGTCTGTAAGTGGAAACAACTCTTGGAAGCCTCAAAAAACTGAAAGTAAAACGTCAAGGTTGAGGAAATTAAAACTCATAAGATAAGCCATAAAATACAAAATAGAAGAATGCAAGGTGGTGCTCAAAATAGAAAAAAAAACAGAAATATAAAGAAAATCTCATTCAATAACAGAAAATGCAAGTTCACATTGAGACATCTAAGCAAATGACCAGAACAGAAAATCTCATAACTTTTTCCAACAAACATAATTACTAACTCCTAACTATCATAACCATGCTAGAAAACTCCTAATTGTTTCTAATTCATTCAATAAAACTTCTAACCAATTTCTCAACAAAATTCAACAAACAGAAAAAACAGAAAAGAGGTGGAGGAGAGAATTCAGTTACAGAAGACTACAGAAGATATCCGAAGAAGGGAGGGATTTTTCATGATTCAATATGTAAATTCTTAACAGAATTCCAGCTCAGCAATTTTCTGCCAATTTCCTAACAGAATGCAACGGAAAAGGAAAATAGAAAGGTTAGAAGAATTTAAACCGTGGAAAGACAACAGAAAAGCAGAATCTTCAAGCTCTCAATTAGGGTCGATCTCCACCATCCAATCTTCTAACCAACTTCTGAAATCAGCAACTGAGATCCAATCTCCTTCTAACAAACTTTTCCATATTTTTAACAGAATAAACAAAAGCTTACCTCCATCATTGTCTTCTTCTTGACCGCACAGAAAATCCTCTTTCCTCTCTCTTTTCACTGTAACCACATCTTCATCTTCACCATTCTGGGATTCTGTAGAGGGATCACCATCACCGGAACTTTCTCTCCTCCTCTCATCTTCATCTTCATCATTCTTCATCTTGAAGAATCACCAAAAAAACCAGAAAACTCTTCGCTATCTTATTCTATCTCTCTCAGCCGAGTCTATCATCCCCTGCATCGCTTCGTCATCTTCACCAGTTCATCAAACTGCTTCATAATCAACAACATCCAATAATCATCTTCAACTTCTGTAATCTTCGTTAATTTGAAACAAAAAAAAACTTGTATCAACAACCGCACCATATCACACAACAACCACAAATTTAGAACGCGAAGAAGAAAAGATGAGGAGCAGAATCTCAAGAGGAACACATACTTGAATCGATTTTTCTGGATTTCTCATCTTCGCTGTCGTCGAAGGCGCATTGGAAGAACTCCAATAGGTAACCCTCAAACCATCTTTTCTCTCATTTTCTACGTGTGTTCTTGTTGTCCTCTCAAAGATTGAAGACGATTCGGTGACGAGGAGGATGAATCAAAGCCGACAAAAACAAATTTGTGAACGCAATTGGAATCAGAGAACCGACTGGGGATGTGAGATGATCAAATCAAAGACAGAGACAGAGAAGTCTTGAAATACCGCAAAAATGAGTCGAGCAACGTCAAATTGCCGACATAACAGGTTATGAGACGGAGACAGAGGTTGGATCGAGCGAAGAGATGAGCGGCGGCGATGCAGTTTTGATCAGAGAGGAAGGTGTTGTGATGCGTTTTTGAAGTAGAAGTGAGTTTGTTTCACAATGGAAGTCCAATAGACACAAATTGGGAACCCTAATACAACTTCCTCTGTGTTAATTTTCTCTCTCTTAATTGACAAATAATTAGCATAATTTTAAATAAATGTTTGTGGTTTGGAATGAAAGGTAATTTGTGGGCCTTAATTCATCTTGATCCCATGGGATCATTTTTGGTATCTTGCCTCATAAAAGAGGCTGTTTGTGGACTGATTTTTCTGGATTGGGTTTAGCTGTTGCTTTTTGTACCTTTGGATCCAACTTGCACCCCCCTGAGTTTATTACTTTATTAATTTCTTTCAAATAATCTTGTTAGTTGTTTAGATATGTTTGAAATTTTTCGTTACATGATAGAATAATAAAAATAAAAAATGTAAAAGTTTGTTGGATTTTTATTTGATTTTAGGAATTAATTCATGGTTATCCGATTATTCAAAATTTGTGATTCACCTTGGCTTGTTGAGATTTGAGTCTTATGCAGGTTTATTGTGCAATATGCGGATGCGCTTGAGATTTCGATTGTGATTTATTTTCATATCGATGATGCTCCGACACTTATTGTGAACGCTTGATTTCTGAATCTTTTCTTAGTTTAGTGAAGCTTTTGTGAAGATCATCGGGTTTCTTTGTTTTGATAGGCTTTGCTACAGATTGATATCCGATTGGTATTTTCCCCTGTTTATCTATTTTCAGTACTTTATTATTTTCTAGAGATCATGAGAAGTAGGAAATAAAGTGTGCGCGCTGGAAGTCGCTGTTTAAAGACCTATAGCAAGCATTCCGCACTTCATTTAATATATGTGTTGTGCTTGTGTTTGTTTACTTTCTTGTTGATCGATGAGTCACTCAATTTAGAGATTGAGATCACGACTTTGCTCTCAGTGCATGCTCCCTATAGGATTTCATCGCTTCCCTTTATTTCTTGTTGATCGATGAGTCACTCAATTTGGAAATTAAGATCACGACTTCGCTCTCATTGCATGTTCCCTATAGGATAGTTTTGTTAGACTTTCTTTGGTATGCTAGCCTAGATAGTATCTCTCTAGTTATGCTCTCTTGAGCTAGCTATCTGGAGCTTATTGGCTTTTTTGTTTGATTTCATCTTTGTGTGCATGTTTTGAGATGACATACCCTCGGCATGTTCCCTTAGGAGCTCTCGATTCAACTGTAAATGATGATTCAAGATAGACATAATTTTAGGTGATAGACCCTTTCTATGCTCCTTTAGGACTTCTTGATTCATCTATAGATGATGACTTGAGATAGACATTAGGATTTTTATCCAAGCATGTCAACATAGAGTAGATATTTCCCTTCAAAGCTCAACATTAGGATTAATCATTATATGATAACATTAGGGATAGATCTAGGTTAGTCTCCCTTAGATGTTTTCTTTTCTTTTGCATCCTTGTATTTAAAACAAAAACTTTATCTTTCTTTGAAAAATATTAAAACATCTAATAACTTCCAAATCCTTCTTCAAGGTAAACAATATCAACCAATGCAAACTCTTTTTACGCCTTCGGGCTTTTCTTTCAAAATTTTCAGAAAGAACATGTTAATTCACTTCTGTGCTGAAGCGTAAGTCTCCAAAGGTCGAGTTGTGGTAGAAGGCGAAATTAATGTTGTTCATTAAAAAATACAAACCAACAAAAACATGTGAGCCGAACTACGGCTGCTCTGATTCCTTAAAAGGGATACGTAGGCATTGGGGTAGGGCCCGAACGAGCACACCTTTTATTTTCCCTACATTCTTTTCTCCTTTCTTTTGCATGCATTACCTGTACAACTTAGATTTATATTTTTACACACCCATTAGATTAGAACAATAAGAGTGGATACTGTAGAGTACTACGGGCGTGTGGGGTGCTAATACCTTCCCCTCGCGTAACAGACTCCCTTACCCGATCTCTTGGTCGTTCGACCTTGGTTTCACCCTTCTCAGGTTTACTCGATGTTTACCTTTCCCTTCTTATGGGATAAAAAATGTTCGATGGTGACTTAATTGATTTCATTATCATTTGATTGTTCAGCCGGTTGTTTCAGTTGGCGACTTCACTGGGGAAAGATCGACCAAATGTTGGTCCATCCCGGAGTCAATCCTAGCTCTTGTTTTCTTCTCCTTGGGTGTTTATTTTTATGCTTAATCAGCTTGTTCATTTTGTGCATGTTTATCTGAGCATATGTTTTCATTGCATCTTTATTGTTTTCCATATACTACTGTTGTGTTGGTTTCCGTGTTTCTTTGTTGGATGGGTGTTACTATGAGGTAAAAGGTCCAATACCCAGACCAAGTGACAAACAATAGGAACACTAGGAATAGAGTGGAACATGATGAATAGGGGATGTAGATTACCCTAGATGGTTGTGTCATCCACACTTAGATGGGGTTTTAATGAGGTGCTATCATTATCACGTAGGTGTACGCTGATAGTACTCTCAAGTGAACCCGTGATTTTTAGTTACCTTTGCTTGCCTTGACCTAGTTTTCACCCGTGAGTGGGGAGGGACTTAATTATTACAGGTACAGACAGTGACTATGTTCTGATGGTGACTGTTGTATTCTGTCGGTGACTACAGTTATTTTGTTATGTTCTGGACATTTGATCTTGATATATTCAACCTGGCCAGAGATTATACAACGGTTATTCATGGTACTTGCTTCCATTGTATTCTTGAATTGGTGTCGAACCTTTGATCCTGTGATATTAGGATTATTCAGCAGATTTATACAGCAGTACCCAGAGGATTTACAGTTTCCATGCTGAACTTTTAAACCTATGTCATTGAACCTTGCATCATAGCATGTTTATTTTACACAAAAAAGGAAATGTGAAAGATGGTATGCGAAAAAATGTTTGAACATGGCATTACATCCGCTCACTCACCTCATGCATCTTCATGCATCTTCATGCATCCATAGCAGGTACTCAGAATGGGGGAATCCTTATTAAGACTCGGTATTTTCTTTTCAGAGTTGCAAATCTTGACTTCTTGCCGCTCCGTGATCAGATTCAGGTTATGGAATAACTTCGTAGAGAATTGTATGAGATGAAAGAACATATGGGATTTTTGATGCTAGACATGCAGGATATTGGTCCGTGGACAAGAACTCTTGAAAGAAGAAAACACTCAGTTGATGACTCAATTGAATTTGGTTATGGAAATTTTTGGGATGAGGTTGAAGAAAGAAGATGTTTCTATGCCTGCAACAATAGGGCCTACCATTCCTCCCCATAATATAGGAACTCTTTTAAGTCAGGGAGTATCTCCTCCACCGCCTTGTGTTCCAGGATCTTCCCCTCCACAACCAGTTGTCATTTCCCAAGAGGACTCAAAGGGCAAAGTCCGTCAGCAGAGGCCAAAATAGCCTGAACGACAATTTGATCCTATTCCAATGTTATATGCACAATTGCTTCCTCCCTTGCTAGAATTTCATTTGGTTAAACTCTGAATTACCACTACACATGATAGGCTCCCTCATGGATTTGACGATAATTCTAGGTGTGAATTTCATTCTGGGGCACCCGGTCATGATATTAAAGATTGAGTAGCTTTTAAGCACCAAGTCCAGGATTTGCTTGATGCAGGGACAACTCTCATCACTCCCGAAGGTCTGAGCGTGCAAATAAATCTTATGCCAACTGCTACAAAGAATAGGGTTATGCCTTCTCCTTTTCAAAGTTCAATCTCACGATATGAATCACATCTTCCACAACCTATACTCTCAGATAGTTATCACCAACAGTCATTTACAAGTTATGGACATCAGTCGGTTAATCAAAATTAGAATGTTCCTCATGTACATCCAGTTTGGTATGCTCCTCAACAACAAACCTATCAACAAAGACGTATGTAACAAGGTAATCAAAGGGATAAGAAGCCAAAGAGGGTGTTCGACATTGTTCCCATGACTTATGGCCAGCTGTTCACTCAGTTGCTCAAGCTTTCCTTGGTGGAACCCAAGCCACTGAAGCCTATCATTCCTCCTTATTTTATGGATTTCAATCTTAATGTGCAATGTGACTACCATGCTGGGGCACTAGGCCATTCCATTAAAGACTGCGGGGCTTTCAAAAAAAATGTGCAAGACCCGCTTGATGTAAAGGCTATCAATTTCGGGGCAGCCAGTTAAATTTGAACTCTCCTTTGACTTAGTAAATGTTAAGATTTCCAAATCATCAGTTGAAGCAACAAGTGCATACGGAAACTAGTCTCCTCAACATGTAAAATTAAAATTACATTTGCATTATCATTTGTAATCTTTCTTGTTTGGTTCAGTACTTTCTTGTATGCGAAACCT